AACTGTGCGGGTGCAAACTGTTTACCAGAATAAGGATGTCGTTACTGTGAGACATAACTGCAGAAGAGAGATTTCGCCATTCTGGCTGGCTATTCTCTTACAAGACGTTCAATTGGAAGTTGATGGAGGCAATTTTTTAGGAAAGAAAGTACAATTTCAGTGGCTGAACCAGACAAGTGACCCTCTTACGTACGCTCCCGATGTCTGTGATCGGAACTCACCCAACTGCATTCTAACCCTAGTTTTGGGATTCACTGCCAAGGGTTCAAGCATCACTCAACGTCTGAGGAGGACGAGAGGCTCTGCAGGCTTGCTAATGGTGACCTGGATGACGAAGATGATGGAGATGATGAAGATCAAACTCCAGAGGATGAGAGAGCAGCTGGGGAGAGTGAAAGGGAGGTGTCGCTTTCAAGATTAGCAGGAGTGAGCTTATCAGGGCGACGGACCACACGTTTTCAGTTGTGATAAACTTTGAACAAAATTATATATGGATATTTATGGGAGCCAGGAGAGGTCTATTTATAGGTCGAATGTTCGGCATTTAAACGTAAACTGCTTTCTTTGATATTTGGCATTTGGAATAACAAATTTAAGATTTCATAAGGCATCATATCCCGACTAGGATAAGATATAAGGATAAGAAAGAAAATTTTCTAGAAAAGGAAATTGCGGCGGGCCATCTGAAACCTTATAGAATCATTGCTCTGAAGGATTCGTAGCTGACGTAATACGACATGACTTGGCTAACCTTTTAAAGAAAAAAGGAAGTATAGAAAAGAGAATCTGTGATTCTTCAAAAATTACCGCGTAAATGAAGATCTTTCGCGATTTTTCAAAGGTTTAAGTATAGTTGAATTGGTTAAACACAGTTTTATGCGCAATCTCGTCGAACATCGTCGCCAATTACATCTAGGAAAACAAGCTTTTCTGTCTGCCATTTACTCGGAATGGTATTAAAATTATATTCCAGTTTAAATTTTTACCTCAATACCATGGTTTTTGTTTAAAAGGAAAGTTTAAAAAGTAATTTGAGATGATAGTGAAATCTTTTCAAGCCGATTTCTTGGCAGTTCCAAGTCATTTTTATATTAAAAAAATTGGCCATCTTTTCCCAGTGGGAACAATGCTATGCTGTACAAGAAAAATTTTTAATTCCAACAGCTATTTACAAATTAAAAATGATAAGTAATGATTTGAACTATTAGTTCTTTGTTACTGTTAAATCACTTGAAGAACCTCGAGGAACCTGTATGGAAGACATGCCGCCTCGCCTCTTCAGAGTTCCTAAAAAGATGTGGAATGAATGGACATTGAATTTAAGAGACGGACAGTCTCAACAGGTATTTATTTCTACAACAATTATTTATCCCTTAGTTTGCTGTTATACATTTCTCATAAATATCAAATGTTGTTATGGAAATATGAATAAACAAACATGCATTCACAAACATGTCCTTCAATAGCGAAATCCACCATTGAAGTCACTCCTAGAAAACGAAATGCAAAAATTAGGGGCAAACCAGAAACTAAAATCTAGAATCTTTTGTGTTTTGGAGTTAGGAATCCAGCACCTGGAATGCGGAATCCACAACGTGGAATTCAGAATCTAATACTGTCCTGGATTACCTTACATGTGGCAAATAGACGGTTCTATCCAGGTCTCGTGATCTTATACATGAAAACGAGGCAATTTAGTGTTGGCCATGTTTGTTCCATTGTTTGGTTTACCGTATTGTTATGCCTTGAATTTGAGGTTATTAAGATTTCTTCTTGACTTTTCATAGCTCTGTTCATCTACGACAAGATAATACGATAAGCCTGCTAAATTTTGTGTGGTTTAGATTTGAAAAATACCTGTGTGCAAATCTAGTATAACTGTAAGTAGAGTTATGTTACGGATGAGATCTTATCGCTGAGGTTCACTATGCTACCAAAGCTGACACGTCATTTCCATTTCATGAATACAAATATTACTCAATTACAGAGTTATCGATGTATAACAAAGCCAATACAGCTTTTGGTGCAAGAGATTTTTCAAGCAAATGGTTATTTAAGTGAAGTAATTCTCTCTACAGAATGAGAAAGCCATTCAGAAGAAGTTGCTTTCAGTTTGCCTCCTGCTAAGAGACAAAAGATAAAAAAAGCTGGAAATCACACAGTGTTAGTCGTTCACAGCAACCTTTCTATCAACTATAGTCAGACATGGCACTTAAGAAATCCATCAATTGTGACAAGAAATCTACAGGAGGCTTAGTTGGGATGACCAAGAAGGACGGTGCTGTTGAACGTTGATTTCTGACAAACCATGAACGAGCTGCCATCACAAGATCGGTGAAAGGAATGTGCAATCTATATGATGAGCGGGTGGGTAGCTACAAGGAAGCAACTACGAAGCGCATCAAGAGAGACCAGAAGGATGTTCAAGATCTTGTCATCTTGGGATGATGAAAATCCATTTGATCTAAAGGTAGATAAGGACACTGCTGACATCGAACCTCTTAGGAACATTGTGACTGGTGTCGTGCTACCTGAAAAAGTTGCAAATCGTCTCAGAAATTCATTGAGCATAGGGCATCGGGGAATGCTCAGGTTTATCACCTCAAGCTTAGACAGTGATAAAGTCAGCTTTGGGGAGCCTCTTTCCAAACTGAAGATCGAGAAGTGCGAGACAACTATCAAGAGGTCTCTAATAGCGTCAAACGAGGAAGTCATTAATCTAAGCACAGATCAAGATTTATTTGGGCGACTGCTTGTTGTTGCCAAAAGAGAAATAAACCTTAAAGAAATCCTCAGTTACGAGTTATGCTGTGTCCCTGTCTCTCTTGTTCACCCAGATGGAATTGTACGTGAGACAACAAAAAGCTCACTGATGGCGATATTAGAGAAGGATATCGACTCTTCAGTCAGTTTGCCTGTGTTAAGCAAGAAAAACAACGGTTCTCATTGATGCAATGGCACTGATTCAAACCCTTAAGTCTGCAGGAGCTGCAACATTTGAAGAAATGGCTGGTAAATATTGTGAAGTTATACCTCGGGTGTTAGGACAGAACGACAGCAACCGCGTAGACCTCATATTCGACCAGTACCACACACTATGGAGATAAAGATTCACACCAGAATACGTCAGTTCCAATGGGGGAGAATTCATGTCAAATCCAAAGAATACGTAGAGCCTAACCAACTTTCTTTCCCATT